CGTACGTCATGAGAAATACACACGATGACAGAAACACTTTTGTAACGGAATGTTTAAATGTTTTGTGCGACGCATTGAGCTAGATCTATTTTTTATGTAGTGCTTATATATTTATAAAACAAAAATTGCTTTTTCCTTCTGTTCTTATTACACATGGTTCTAGTTACTTTGACCAATAAAATGCAACTCTGTCTTTTTTAAAAATATTAAAAAATTCACACATATTATAAATATATATTTTAAATAAAATTATATATTTATCAAAAATACGTAAAGGTAATTAAAAATGTTCTACGTTTTCTTCAAGCTTTTCGGAACCGTAGATATCGCGTTTTGCGTGATGTGTCAACACTATTAAAGCTAACATAATTTTTTAAAAATTATATTTCAAATATATTTTCAAATATATATTTTAAATAAATTATACTTTTTTTTAAAAGAATATAAAAAATAATTTAAAATGCTCTACATTTCTTACGCTAACATAATTTTCGTTCTCTTGCAGATACTGAAGACTTGATGAATCAGTGACTCGCCGCGTTCGTGCGACGTACTCGTGAATCATCGCTCGTCATTATGCAACAGTGAACTTACTCGCTTTCGTCGGATACGTGCCAAGTGCAGCTCGAAGATTGCCTGGAGAGAGTTCGCGGCCGATTCATGGAATCGTGATCAGGTAAGAGTGAGTAATTTCGATGCTCCGAGAACGGGAGCCGCCATCAGAATTTATATACGTCAGAACCGGAAACAACGTGCCAATCGGTATCTCCGGGCGCGATGACGTAACGCGGTCGTAAGCTACGAAATTTCCGCTGAAAGCGGGATTGAGGTTGGCTCCTCAAGTCGAGCGTGCGATGCTTGCGAGATACATTGATGTCTCTGTAGATTGCGCGAGGACGATTTGAAGGAATCAGCGCGTCACCGATAACGTCATGATCGATTCATGACCAATCAATAAAATCGCCCGACACGACTCATTTGATTTGAGAGTCGAGCAATTTTTTATTTCAGCACAATTTTATTCGTCAATTAAATACAGCGTTAATTCGCGTTTCTCCGCGCAATTCTGTTTAATGGAATGGAGAATAGAGGGATATTTATGCGATTATTTCTCATTTTACGTAGGCGTACGTAGCATCCTTTTCATTTATTATGAGCACGTGCATTTTGTTCAGCACTTCACGGCACTCGCTCTTTATATCGCATGTGGGTCAAGTGTGAGCTGTCAATATTTCGTTTTCCATATTTCACCTGCGACGTATTGGCTCTCCACAGAACGCGGATATTTTTCTTTTTCACTTCCATGCATTTCAAATATTGACTTTTTATTATAAATCTTATTTTCGCTCTTTATACAAGCGTTATTTTAGAATCATTTAATAATCACATAAAGTCTTTAATGAAAATATATTCTAGGAAGAGAGAGATATTGATTGATATCACAGATTTAAGACTCGATACGATCAAAACATTGCATTATTGCAGTTTTAAGCTGCAATCTTTAATTATGAATCGCTATATTATCCCATACAACACAATAAGATTGCAGCAGCATTATGGCAACATTTCATTGTAATATTACAACATTGCATAAACATTGTGAAATGTTGCAGCAACGGTAAAATATCCGCTTTCAGAAATATTGTTCTATAACATTGCAGCAATAATGCAATAAAATATATATGTAATATTACTATTGGATTATTACCTTAAACCGGTTCTGTACCTAATATTTTTTGCATGAATTTTATTTGCACAATATTTCTGAAATGTTGCTGCAACGTTGTTTAAACTATATTGCAAATTCATGCCTATATAATATTTCTGCAATATTGCTATGCAATGTACAATATTGCAATGTTGTTGCAATATTGCTGCGAACTTGTGTGTTGTATGGGATAAATGATACATCTAACTCATGAGAAGAAGGCGAGAAAGGAGCATTTGCTCTCCTTTTAAATAAACACTGGAATTTATTTGTATATTTAATATAAAAAAATGAAAATAACAAAATAAGAAAAATATAAATTTAAAAAAATTAAGAAAAAAAAAATTTAATTATGCATTCTCCTGGAAAAAATTCTGCGGACGTCTATGATTTACCTCGAAATTTATTATAGACCCGATCGTGACACCTTAGCGTTTTTCCACGAAAATGATGACCATCATTAAAGATGGAAGATGAAAGTTTATCGTGCAAGAAGGGAGAGAAATCGTAAACAGAGGCTAAGCCAGGTTACTATTTCTGCAGGACGCGTCGCGTTTACGGGGATTTTGCGAGTTCTCGTAGAATCCTTTGATTCTGAGAATCCTTTTATGGAGGCGCGATAATGTCTCGCATAAAGTTTGTATGTACGTCCAACGGGAAAAACGACGACGACAATGTAAGCTTACAAACGGAATGTCATTGCGGCCCAACGGTGTCCTTTTGCGCCCCGTATATTTTCCGATGCATCCGGCCATATCCCGTTTATGTGCCGTGTTCTCGAGTGGGTGCCAAAGCCACCGTATAGCTTTTTATATAGATCCGATCATAGTCGCGACCGAATCATCTCTTATCGGCTGCATTTTTCCGATACATTTACTAGAATTTCCCTCGAAAAGGGTCGAAGGGGTGAAATCATTTTTTAACGAATAAAATAAATTATTATTAATATTTATACTAATAATTATTAGTTACTATTAATTGTTATTAATTATTAATAGTTATTACAATAAATTATTAATAATAAGTTATTAATAATTATATACATTAATATTTTTTTTACTGCGAAATAAGAGAGTGCAGACTTTTAGCTATACTTATTACTATTAATTTTTGACATCCACTTTATCGACTACATTTTTCCGATACATTTATTAGAATTTCTTCCGAAAAAGGTTGAATAATTTTTGACAAATAAAGTAAATTATCAATTAATTGCACTCTTTTACTGCGAAATAAGGGAGTGCAGATTCTTTGCTACTTATTGCTATTAATTTTCGACATCCACTTTATCGACTGCATTTTTCCGATACATTTATTAGAATTTCTTCCAAAAGGGTTGAATAATTTATGACAAATAAAGTAAATTATCAATTAGTTGTACTCTTTTACTGCGAAATAAGGGAGTGCAGATTCTTTGCTACTTATTGCTATTAATTTTCGATATCCACCTTATCGATTGCATTTTTCCGATACATTCACTAGAATTTCTTTCGAAAAAGATTGAATAATTTTTGAACGAATAATTAAATCAAATTATAAATTAATTGCACTCTTTTACTGCGAAATAAGAGAGTGCAGACCTTTTGCTATACTTATTGCTATCAATTTTCGGCATCCACCGTGAAGATCTGTCGTGAGATGATAACGCGCAACATATTCGCCAGTAAATGCAATTTGGAAGTGTGATGACGTTTTAACTACCGCATAACGGGTGTAATGAGTATAATGTCTTGCGCGCGAGACGCAGGTATATATATATACATACATATATCGGATAGGAGGATAACTTCCTTGTATAGGTTTGCCAGTGAACTAATCCTTTCCCTCCTCTGTTTCATCAACATTGTACGCTATGAGGTAAATTTAATTAATTGCGCGCATCTGCCATCTTTGTTCGGGCCCCATGTAACATAGCACGATGAAGCGTTAATTACTTTCACCATTACCATTTCAGATTGAATCGCGAGGTGGATGCGCCCGAGTTCATTATGCGAGCAATCTTTCTTATGAATAATTTTGCATTTGTTATCGGAGTTCGATAAGCTTGACTTTTTTGCGATATGACTTGAATAATCGATGTGAGAAAAATTATTAATATAATATATATAAATTTATACGTTAATTAATATAAATTAGTAATATATGTACAGGGAGATGCATCTAACTTGCATATCTTGAATGACTCTTAAATTATGCGTTGTATGAAAATTGTTACATATGTATAAGAGTTGAATACTTTGGAGAAAAAGTTTCATATAATATATAGAGCATATATAGTACATAGAAATATATTTTTTATAAATGAAGGAATTTCAAAAATTTGAAGATTAACTTTATTTTTTAAATAAAGTATTACATTTTTTATATCATAGTTAAAATGTGTATTGAATTTTAAATGAAAATACATCACTAATATTTATGTTTATTAATATTGGTGATTATAAAATAGAAACTCAAACTGTTATCCATTAATATTAATACAATAATATGATCTTGTAATTTATTTTGAAACAGAATTGTGAATTATCTAAATTAATACATCTTTTAAGAAGCATTTCAAGCACCTTCTTATTTTTTTTATTATTGGGTGGCTCACGCGATATATATTATTTTTTAATATATACTCTATAAGAAATAGTCCAACGGTGTTAAATCTAGTGAATGGAGTAGCCATAAAAATTTCTCACGACTTATCCATCGATTTGTTATTTCTTATTTCCTTGAGAATATCTCGTTATCTATATATTAGGTTTAAGACCAATAAATTATAATATATTTTTACTCAGAATCCAACGTATTTTCGAACTGTGAACATAAAAACATTCTATTTAGAAAAACAAAGTTAATTTTTAAATCTCCGAAATGTTTCAATTTATAAAAAAAAATATCATATTTCTCTCACAAAATCATGCAATTTTTATTTGTATCAATTTTTCACACAGTGCATAATTTACAAGTTATTCAAGCTGTATAAGCTAGAAATCTGCTCTCTATGTATAAAAAAATGTCTTTTTAAATCGAAATGACTGTTTGGCATTGTTGCATCACTTTGTATTCTTCTCTACATTAATTCGTGAGTGACGCCAAGGGCACCAAATACATGAGGGACTCAACACATCCGGATCTTCATCCTAATTAGGAATAGCGTCATTCGTTTAGTCTCTCTCAAGTAGGGGATATACATATATAGATCGTTTCTCCTTCTTACCCACTCTCAGCTGCCCGCTCTTTTTCTCTCTCGCTAGAAACGATCCCCACATATTATGCAGTGGTACGCCGGCGTTTATAAAATGTGGGCCACTTCAGTACGCGGATCGTCGATGCGCGGATCGCATTATTCAGATCACCCGAAACCGATCGTCGAACTGTCATCATCCGCGCGACGATGATCGAACTCGTTATTTTTCAGCGCTCAGCTGTCCGGCTGTTCCGATGGTGTCGCTGGCTGCTTTATTACCTTTACGCGAACGTGTCGAATCTCGGTGAGTGCGTGTAATTTAAAGTGATTAAAAAAAAAAATATTATAATAATAATTAAACGGTGGAAAAGAAAAATAACTGTAACCTTGTTTTTTTATATCAAAAGAGTTGACAAAAAGAAACTAATTTAGAATAATGATGATTATTGCGCTATTTATCATTCGATAATATACTGTACGACTGCCAAGGTTGATGTAGGACGGAAACGCGATAATCTAATAGCATGTTTCTCTGATAACCATTTTAAAATCGTAATTTATGTCTTGTTGTATAATATGACACTGTCATTTTTTTACATGCATTTTAATATAAATTGATGTACATAAGATATACATTGTATATATGGGTATATATATTTCTTATGTCATGCACGATGACATTTTTTGTCGCAAAAAATGGCAATTATCTCTTTACACTGAGAGATATTGCATACTGCATGATGTGACCTTTCTCGCAAGATAACTTTCTATTTTTAACACAATCAAAGAGACTCGCTAATTAGCTGTCGAAGAGAATTAAAGGACTTATACCCGACAGAGGTTTTTCTCTATAACACTATACGTACATTTTTATACATAATTATCAGTGTTTGCTGTTATCTGAATAAAATTATATAAATGATCATCTAGATGAAACTTTGGCGTCACCTTATTTTTATATAGATAACAAAAATATGTATTATTTATATCTGCATATCTTACATGATAAAAGTATTATTTTTACTAAATTATCTAGAATAATGTTCAGATAATTTGATTTAAAGTCATAGCGCATAAAAAATACTGAAAATTTATAAATAAAAATATGAATATATTTTTATATTCCTATTTGTAACATTTTTTCGTAACTGTGTTTACATAAGCAGTTTTAAAAATTATCTAGCTGAATCGCCATATAATTTTATCTTGTATTTAAAAATATTTAAAATAAAATCATCTTGATCTTAATCTAACAATAAGATGAATTTACATATTTTGATCTCATCTTTATCTAGCTAATTTTAAAATCATCTAAGCACAACACTGATCATTATTGAATAAATTTAAGAAATCGCGTTTCCTGGACGCGTATAAGGTATAATTTTAAATGACATTTCGCGCTTATCGCTGACAACGTCGTGTGAAGAAGACACCCTGTGCTTAAACTGACCTCTCCCTCCCTTACGCAATACCATACGTCAAAGCTAGCCAGCTGTCTCTGACCATAGATACCCACGTGCGAGAGAAACTGGGCCGCCACTTCCCTTCGTGTTAAAACGCGCTTCCGCATGCTTCCCGAGGCTGCTTGAGGAGACGCTGTTTGATGCAGTTTCCTTGATGTTAGATGTTAGAGACATTATCCCGACGTTACTGCACAGACACTGTCACGATAGAAATAGAGAGACTTGGAGTATCTACTGAAAAAAAACTATTGAACTCAAATAAATATTTACTAAAATAGTTCCATTTACACATTTGTTTGAAACAAAATAAATATTTATCTGTTTTGAAAAGGATTTCTTATATCAAATAAATATTTTTTCACGGCAAATTTACATCAATATTATTAGTTTAAAAAAATAGTGTATAAAATAGCATTGAAATAAATATTTACTTGAATAATTAAATAATTTTTTTTTTCAGTGTATATTTTAGAATTAGAATTTAATTTTTTATTTATCTAGTTGGAATATTTTTATTTTAAACAAATTAAAAATTTCTGAAACCTCTTTCAGATATGTTTTATATAAAAAATTTACTTATAATTATATATATATATCTTTTTTTTTTAATTTTTTATTTCCTTTTTTTTCCTATTTCGCAAAAAAATTCTTGCATCTTTATCTAGAATAAGGTTCAACAATTCATCGACTGTATTGATTTCTACGTTAATATTTAAATTTTAAATACTTCATAATTATCCATAAATTGATCACTTGTTTTACAATAATACTATTTTAGAATACATGCAAACTAAGAGACGCAAAACTCTTTACAGATTTTTTATTTATATCTTTATTTTAATTATATTTTTGAATTTAAAATTTATATTTCAGTTATATCTTGGAATATTTTTATTTAATAAGAATTTAAAAATGAAAATATTCTAAGACATAAATAAAATTTAAATTTTAAATTCTAAAAATATATATGTATACACTCTTCATCAGTTGAAGAATCGACGTACTGTGCGGCTTTTCATCGCGTTCTATGCTCGATCTCTAAAAGAATTTTGCGATTAATGCTTCTACTATAATTGGAGTAGCAAAAACTTTTGTTTCTTTGATACTATCTTTTCAGAGCGCCCGGTTACATTTTACTGGATTTTTATTCGCTACCGAGTGAATAATAATGTCTTTGATCTCTTATGCAGATAAAATGTTAATAACTATATACATTCTCATACAAATAAGAGAGATTTAAAGTTACTCTCCCTACTTAAATATATTCAAAATAAAATTAGAATTGTAAAATCCTGCGAAGTTACATTTCAAAGAGCAGCTGACGCCCAGCTCTATTTGAAATTCAAAAAGAGCTATGTGTTATCGTCGCAAAATACTATCCAATGATATCTAAAACACGTTAGGGAAGAATGATATTTTTGTATTTATTCTTCCGTAATGCAAAAATCGATCTCTTTATCAGGCGAATATGACGCGAATCAAACGCGATGCAGATACATAAATCATTTTAGGTGTGTATGACGTTATCGGGTTGTTATGCTCAAATTGTAATGCGATCCTGAATGGGTTTGCGAGTGACGTGTGAAACGAAACGGGTCGCCCGTCGATAAAAAAAACTCGGTCGAATTCCCAAGGAAGGCGACACGAATTAATAACACCCGTTGTAAATCTGATCTGTCAGGCGTCGAATTGTCTAAATTGTCGACAATGAAAGATTTCCGGTGTAACGATGTGCGACCGACGGTGAGAGACGTAAATTTTCACGGTTTCGCGTTTCGAGTACACTTTAGCACAAACATTAGCATAAACAGATTCCCGAGTTCTCCGAATACTTCATCAAGACTGCCCTTTAAACACCCTTTTCTTATTTAATGCGCTCCGAAGAGGATTATCAAATTTTGATGCGCGTTTCCAAGTTTCGGCGAACCAGTTTTCTCCCGTTTTCACCTCGACGCTTCGTGTAAAACGTGTCTCTTCAAAAATTCATATCTTTAGTTCTACGTCTGACATATCGGAGATATCCGAGATACCCGAAATGTGCAGTTCTATAAATAAGGTTTAGAAAACATTTTGTCGTCCCGAGAAATTTGTGCGGAAACAGTACAAAAATCAAGTATTTGCTTTCCTTTTAAATAAATACTAAAATTTATTTGCATATTTAGAATATAAAAAAATGAGAATAAAATAAAATAACAAAAAAGAAAATTTTGTTAAATTAAGAAAGAACAGAAATTAAAAAATAAAAAAATTAATTATACCCTCTGCTGGAAAAAATCCTACGGACACGGATCGTAGTATAAATGTTCATTTCAATTATTTCAATTCATATCTTTAGTTCCACGTCTGACATATCGGAGATATCCGAGATACCCGAAATGTGCAGTTCTATAAATAAGGTTTAGAAAACATTTTGTCGTCGCGAGGAAATTTGCGCGGAAACAGTAGAAAAATCAAGTATTTGCTTTCCTTTTGAATAAATACTAAAATTTTATTTGCATATTTAGAATATAAAAAAATGAAAATAAAATAAAATAACAAAAAAAATTTTGTTAAATTAAGAAAGAACAGAAATTAAAAATAAAAAAATTAATTATACTCTCTTCTGGAAAAAATCCTGCGGACACGGATCGTAGTATAAATGTTCATTTTAATTATTTCAATCTAACTAATAGACCCGCGAAACGCCATTGACGACGGGTGAATCGACAACAATCGGGAACAATTCGAACTCTACTCATCCGAGTGACGTGAAAAGCTCGTCGATGAACTTCATTCCGCCTGTGCATCGCGGCTTTAGGTCGATCTGGCCGGCAAAAGCCACTGAATGCACCATTATGGCTGGTCGATCGAGGGTCGTACTCGAGGGGTGCGAATGGAGAAAACTGCATTTCATCGGGGTCGTTGCTCCGCGAATCCTTAATTGGATAACGATAATCCAGGAAAGAGCTTTGGATTCTCTTCGAGAAGAATCGCTTTCTTAGCTAAAACTGATAACGGTAAACGCGATTGATCTGTAGTGCGTGGAATTAAGATTAGTATCTCGTTTCAACATCGAAGTAGGGGAAGGAAAATGAAACTTTATTACACGTGAATTTTGTATGAAATATAATTATAAGTGGATTTTCTATATGGAATATCTCTGAGAGAAATGTATATATTTAGAATTTAAAAATTGTATTTTATTCATATCTCTTATAGAATATTTTTATTTTTAAATTCTTTTTAAATAAAAATATTCGAAAATGTAAGTGAAATATGAATTTTAAATTCTAAAATTATAATATAAATATATATAAAAATATAAATAGAAAATCTGTAAAGAACTTTGCGTCTCTTAGTTTGCATATATTCTAAAACAGTATTATTGTGACACAAGTGATCATTTATGGACAGTTATGAAGCATTTAAAATTTAAATATTAACGTGAAAATCAATTAATACAGTCAAGGAATTATTGAAACTTATTCTAGATAAAAATGCAATCTTATTTTAACATCGAAATAGGGAAAAAGAAAATAAAAGAGAATAAAAACATATGTAGTTATATGTATAATATATTCTAGATATTAAAATATATATTCTAAATTGTAAATTCTAAAATTCTAAACATAAATAAAATAAAATATGAATAAAAAATTTATAAAAAATTTTCCATCTCTTAAGTTACATGTACTCTAAAACAATATTATTGTAACACAAGTGAACATGGATAGTTAAAATAACGATAAAATTAATGAAGTCGCCAGTGATGAGTAAAACCATACAAATTTATTGAAATTTCGACCTAACTGGCCAGTACAATTTAATTAGAAACACTACGTTTCGACCCTTATGTACGGAT